GTTATAGCAATAATCTGCTTGTTTATTTCTGTGATTCTTAATGTTGTTTGCATCTGTTGCCGAACTCCAAGAGCAGCATGTAAACAATTTAAAGGTAAGTGTTATTCACTGACTCTAAATCATTTTCAATAAATTGTATTTGGTACATATGTTATATACACTTTTACACTTGATATTAGCTGCTGAGTGCACACCCCGTTACATTTGAACACATCAAAGTCAAGAACATAATTTTAATTTTTAAAAAATTGCATGAGGTAATGTGGATTTTTATTGTTTTAAATCAACATTATGCCCAGAAAACAGCTCTTCACAAGCAAGACAAGATACCTTGAGCCAAAAAATGAATGAACATGTAAGTGATAAGACTAAATCACATTTGTTAATTGAGGGAAACGATTTACTGTAGCTTTATATAACAGTATGAATTTTATTTTGCATAGACTGAAAGTGGACATGATCTAAACTATGCTGCACTGCATTTCTCTGGAAATAAAAGTGCAAGAGGAAGGAAGAAGAAGAATGAAGTGGAAACTGAGGAAACGGTGTATTCTCATATCAGAAGCAGAGTGTGAAAGTGTGTCTATACAAAACTTTTAACACTGATTTGTTTAATTGGAGATAGAAAATACAAAGAACTTATTCCTGATTTTGCTGAAAACATGATGTTTTGCATATACTGTTATTTACATATTATTGTGTTTGCCTGTTCTTGTTTTCCTGTTTCTGTGTGATGTTACAAATGATTAAATTAACAACATGACTCACAATATCAATATTGTCTCACAGTGTTAATCGTGACTAGCTTAAGTCAGTTCAGTCTGTCTGCATCCACCTTCAAACTCATTGAGATTGGAGATTTTTTTCACTCTAAGTTTAATTATTCTGACTTCAGTCTTGCACCAACATGATTTGTCATTAAATTTGCGACATAAAATACATGTTATTCCTGGCTTTGGAAAGGGCTAAAGAAGCAAGCAAGGTTGCAAGGGGCACTTGTCCAGATTGCTCTTTGACTTTTTTGGGGGGAAAAAATATCACGCATTCCTACATAGGAGACACTATGGTGGGGATTCTACAATTGGATGAGAGATGACCTGACCTGCAATTCCCAAAAGGTTGATTCTGTTTATCTGGACGTAGCGTTTTCAGTGGGAGAAACATTTCGTCACTCATCCATCATTAGCATATAGACTTAAAAAATAACTTCTAACCCAATGCATAAAATAAAACTGAAAGACTCTTTTGTCACATAACCAAAATAAATTGTAAACTCCTTCATAGAATTCTACAAAAACATTATATAGAAATACAGACTGGATGATAAGATCAAGAAGCTCAAGATTGTAAAATGCTCAGAGAAACTGCAAAACCCCCAAGAGCTACATCCAAGAGTCACCAGGTCTCAGCATGACAAAAGTTAAAGTTCATGACAGCATAATCAGAAAAAGATCACACTGTGCCTTTTGGTACTGGCAGAATGGTTGCCAGAGGAAAGCCTCTATTCTCTCAAAAGAACATGACACCACAGCATCAAACAAACCATAAGACTTCTGGAATAATTACTTTTGGACAGACAAGGCCAAAGTGGAGATGTCTGACCAGAATGCACAGTGCCTTGTTTGGAGAAAAACAGACACACAGCATATTAGCACCAACACCTCACACTAACTGTCAAGCACAGTGGTGAAAATATAATGGTTTGGGTTTGTCCAACAGCTTGAGCTTGGCCAAAACATGCGAGTCGGCAACAACGATCACCACTCAAACAAATCTAGAGTATAGCAGCTGGATTTACCTGCTGCAAATAAACTTACCTACAAAATACCTACCTGGCCTCTCTCTACAATTATGTTGTAACTATAGGAATCCAGCCTGCCTGCTAACAGCCACTCCAAAGCTCTGGTTCAAGGACACAACAAGTGAGATTTCACACTGCTATCATGAATCTAGTAAAGATTTAGCAGCCCTTCCTTGCCCATTGCTGACATCCTTTCTATGCTTTACCATAAACTCTAGTCACAGTCCAGTAGAGGTAATGCCCACGTACCAGTTGTCCACTGAAAGACTAACCAGATTCTTTAAAGAATATGTTGATGTATTCTTAAGATTGTCCAATAAAATGTAACCAAATACATGTACACCAGAATTATATCTCCTTCCACTTGGCTATTAGTGCTATTTTTTTTTTTTTTTTTTTTTAAGGTCACGAGCAGTTGTCCAAGCATTTCACTGCATATCGTACTGTGTATGACTGTGTATGTGACAAATAAAATTTGATTTGATTTGATTTGATTTGATTTGATTTGATATTTGACTGAAGTATCTGCTTTGAATTACTCTAAAACTTCAACAGCACAAAATGCTGTGAATTTCAAAGAATAATAAATAAATATTTCACCACAGTAAATTCTTACATATCAGATTATATTACATTTAATGACTGACTTCATCTGAAGGGCATCAACTTCAGAAAAGGAAAAGGAAGAAACTTAAAATTACTGCGATTAGCAGCAGGGTATCGACAATGAGAGTTAATAAATATGTGATGATGACTGAGCTCTGTGCAGACTGAACTGTAAATAAAAATAGCATACAATGATTTGCAAATCTCAGAAACGCACATTGTGCGGAAAATGAATTGAGTAGGACACTATCATATGGATTAGTCAACATCTGTAGTGATGCAGACGCTGTCCTTGTCTGTTGTGTTGAGTTGAAGGAACAGCTGGGATTCACTTGTCTTGTGCCTTTACTATAATGACCATGAGGTGTAAGTAACGACTAAAAGAAAAAGACCGAGATTAAAGGTGGAAGAAATGTGTTTCCTCTCAAGACTGTTAGTAACTAGGTTAAGAGCACAGTCATTCAGTAGGGGATCAGAGTAGAGCTACTACTTCTGCTTTTGCAACATCAAAAGGTGGTGTGAGTATCTTAGTTGGATGCCTGTTTGAAACCTTCTATTTGGAGTGTTTCTAGCATGTCCTACCCCAGTGCATGCATTCCACTCAAAAGACTACCCGACGGAAGCCTTAAAAAAATTGTGGTTTTGTGCAAACTGTGCAAAAAAGGAGTTTGCATACCACTGAAGCACTTCAACCTTACGCTACCATCTAAATGCAAAACATGTTGCAGCGAGCAAAGAAACTGTGGGAGCTGTTAGCGCGAGCAGTTTGAGTACCAACAAAAGATGTCGGCAGCCCAAACTTGATAAAATGACTGGCTTCAGGACCAAAATTATTAGGTCAACATCGGACTACTCGGGCTCTGGACTGTAGACCACTATCAGTGGTAGAAGATAGGGGGTTAGAAAATGTGCTACAGATGCAGATGAGCATATCATATCATTTTACTTAAAGTACTTAAAATAACACTTTATTTTTAAGTCTTCCCAAGGGGATATTAATATATTATATATATTATTTTTCTCTGTTTTGCTTTGAAATGCAGTTTAAATCCTCCCCCCATAAATTAAAAGATCCTGAGTTTACAATATTCATCTCCATGTCTAATATTTAATCTGTCACCCACTAAAACCCTTTAAAATTAAAAATGATAATAATAATTGAGCACTGGGGCAAATTTTCTTGTGGGAATAAATGCAGTTAATCGAGATTAATTAATTACAAACTCTCTTTTCTATACAATTTCTGCTTTTTGTTCTTTTTTGGCATTTTTTAAATAGCTTTATTTGTGTTTATGACATGTCTTCTGCACTGGAATGGGGGCATGGATTGAGCATGCAATATGCAGAACAAAATTCAATTGAGGGTCAAATACCCACTTGATGGGAGTTTATACAGATCCTGATTTAAAACAAAATGTCTTGAAAAAGACTATTGTCATGATACCTGTTATCTCTCATTAGGATTTGGGGTTTTGTGGAGCCACCTAATGTAAATCAAAGCTAAAATCATATAGTCAAAATCTGGCATTATTGTAGCTTTTCCTATAGCTTCACCAAGGGGTTAATATGTGTGTGTGCCTTTTTTTTTCTTTCAAAGTGTTTAAACAACTACTGGCTTGTTTCCGGTGTAATTTGCTCAAAGAAACTGCTCATAAGCCTTGGTTTTTGCTGTGGAAATTTCCATCTAATAAAGCCTGCAGACAATGATGAGCAGTAGCTAACATCTTTTAAAAAAAACCCAAGCTTAAGTGAGAGAGAGCAGCCATCGCGGGGCACTGACTAGGGCCGTGTCCACACTAATACGTTTTTGTATGAAAATGCATCTTTTTCTCGTCCACACTGAGACGGTGTTTTCGGTCAAGGAAAACGCAGCGTTTTGAAAACGCTCTCCAAAGCTGATACATTTGAAAACGCCGTTTTCGCGTTGCAGTGTGGACAGCGAACCCGGAGCCTTTTCAAAAACGATGACACATTTTAGTCATGTGATGCAGTCATGTGACAAATTAATTAATTAATTAATTGAAAGAGTTAACAATCCCTTATCACCTCTTACAGTGGTTTATCCCCTTGTCTCTTTCCCCACATCCTAAAAGAGAAACAAAAGACTTAACCACACTGGTGTCAGGCTTCCTGTGTGAATGCTCCCTACTTTCCAAGATACAATCACCTGACCCCCCACCCACATGATCTGTCTAACGGCGTGAATAAGGTGTGAAAACAAGCATGCAAAAACCAGGTGACATAAAAGCACTACTACTAACACAATACATCAATAAATAAATGAAAGAAATTCCAATATGAGGCTAAATCACTCTAAATCACTAAATCACAATTACTCTTTGAGTCCGTAAGGTTTAATAACAAGCATAACTATAACATGTAGGGAACAGTGTTCGAGTTAACAAAATAGGCAGTTACAATACAAGATGAAAGAAGATGAGAGCTTTTGCAAAGCCCAGGAGGAGGCAAATGTGACAGGAAGTCTACATTTGAATCTATTCTGTACTGACCAATCAGCAGCATTTTACTGTCTTACTGAATACAGTGATTTCACCGCCTTCATTCTGTGAAATACCAGCAAAGTCCTCAACAAGGAGCAGTGTCACGATGGTCATGTTACGGATTATATTGCTTTTACTTCATCAAGGATGTAAGTGAGCATTTATCTTTACTAAAAATGTTCTAAATTGAGAATTTATTGTCAAATACATGTGTGGCAAAAACCATAACTTTTCTATATTCTAATTCAGACGCTCTAGTTCCAGTGAAAACGGTTCAGCTTGGTGAACCAGCGAACATAACATGTGCTTTGCCCAGTGGGGTCAGCATTGGAGGAGTCCACTGGTACAAGCAGAGTGTCGGAGATACTCTCAAATTAATAGTGACACTGTTAAAAACTGCAACACCTCAGTATGGTCAAGAAACATTTAAATCAAGATTTCAAGCAAATTATGATAAGAAATTTAGCAACCTGACCATTTTGAAAGCAGTCCAAGACGATGAGGGAATCTATCACTGTGGAATGATAGAGTGGATTAATCCTGAATGGACGGGAACATATTTGTTAGTAAAAGGTAAATTAGTCATACACTGTCCTACTTTTATAAACTTTAAAGTGTTTTAGGTCATGTTATAAAGAATGTATTTGTGTTTTGTATTTTACAGGAAATAATGAGACAGCATCAGATTATACTGTTGTTCAATGGCCAACAGTGTTGAATCCACTGCGCTCAGGAAATTCAATGACTCTCCAGTGTTCAGTCTATTCTGACTCTGACAAGATGTGTCCCAGAGATTATAATGTGTTCTGGTTCAGAGCTGGATCAGATCCATTACACCCAAGCATCATCTACACTGATGGAAACAGACACAGTGAAAGTGAGATAATGTCAGACTCAGAGGAGAGGTGTCTTTATCGCTTCTCTAAGAACGTCAGCTCCTCTGATGCTGGGACTTACTACTGTGCTGTGGCCACATGTGGGGAGATATTATTTGGAAATGGAACTAAACTGGACATTGAAGGTATTTGGTCTTAAGTACTTTAATCTATACTGTATATTCACAAAAATGTTTTTTGGGAGCTGTTTTTTTTGTTTGTTTTTTTTAGTGCAATCAACACAATCAGGATTTATTCAAATGACAATATTAATAGTTTGCTTGGCCATTTCTCTCTGGAAATGTTGATGAATCTGCAACAGATGACTAGTTAACACTTGAATAATATGACAGCTAGGTTTCAATGTTTTTTAGAATCATCAATAATTTCCTGTCTTGTTTTTTTTTTCTAGAGCATAAATCAGGTTCTGACCTTACTGTGCTGCTTATGGCAATAATATTCTTGGTTATTTCTGTGACTCTCATTATTGTTTGTTGTCGAGCTCCAAGAGGAATATGTGAACAATGCAAAGGTAAGTGTTGTTCATGCTAAGAAAAGTCACTCAAACATCATTCTAGTGATGTGTTATACCACTGATTTCCTTTCCAAAGTAAAATTCAAGCTGATATTGATCTGATACCTATAATAGAGCTGCGAAACACTTAAAATATACATTATTATCTATCTGTCTCATGTATGATTATCCATCTGTTATGTATTTTTAAACAGTATTTTAAATTTTTAAAGCCTACAATGACTTTTTACTGCAAGTACGCCGTATATTTTAATGACCCCCAACCTATATAATCCACTTTAAATCTTCTACAACCAAATGAATCCGTTTGAGTTTATCTTAGGGACACAAATATTATTTTAAACTGAACTCATAAAGCTATTTATCGTAGCATATATTTATTTCATTACTTATATCATAACCATATTTATTGATGTACATTAGAACAAATGGGATGGAATATTGTTTAAACATTTGCACAAACATTCGCACACTTTCCATAATTCAGCAACAATGCTACACGTCACCAATAGCTCCACATTTCATTCCTCTGTAATCAGATACTTCCCATCATCATATTCTGTTTCATTACCTTTGTGTCTGAAGGTTTCTGGTCTTGCAATGTGGCCCAAACCACATCTTGGCCACATCATTGTAACATTATTCAGTAAAACTGGACTCACATTTGTGTTGTGATTTTGTCTATCAACACAGATGCAGTTGCTTTGCAAACAAATGTGACAGCAAAAGGAGATCAGGAAATTCTGCAGGTAAGTCTGAAAAATATCAGGACCAAGTTTTCAGTATCTTTTAATGCATGCCTTTGTAAATAAGTTTCACCATTTGTTGTTTGTTTCACCAGACAGATGGAGACTCATTGGTTTATTCTGTAGCAATTTTCTCTTGTGGAAAAATTAGATACAGGAACAAAGAGTAGATACAGGACAACAGAACATGCAGAAGATGAGAAATAATTTGAGGGCTCTTGAGCTGAATTGATATCTAGACACATATAACTCTTGCCTTTTTAAATTGGGTTAGAAATGTACTTGTTCTTCTAGCTAACCTAATTTTCTTCTCTGTGCTTATTAATAATTTTGTTGAGAGAAATTAATAATTACGATGATAATTTTCCCTGTTAAGTTTTCCCAATAGATGTAAATGCTTTGAATACCATCTATGAATGTTTTTTTTTTTTTATTGTGGAGCTTTTCTTTTATTATCTTTTGACATGTTTCTAGATATTCTTGTATCTGGATTTATCAGTTTCTAATTCTGACTGTAATGTATAAAAAAGAAAAGTTAGAAACAGTGGATTTATTACATGAAATGAAAAAATCTATTTTCTACAATTTCTTTACGTATTCATTGTGGCCATTTTTTTTAATATGTTTATGCATTTTTTTTAAATTTTGTGTTCATTTTATTCAATTATGACCTTCATGTTTTGAAAATATCTCAGTCAGTGTATGTTGATTTGAAAATGAATAAAAAGTTACTTACTTCAAGACTTATGTCTTGTTCATTTAATGGACTCAGTCATACAATAGTTAAATAACATAAATAAACTTGAAGGACATCAAATTGCATTCTTTATGTCAGAAGTAGGCCTAACGCTTTTTGGCCTCTGTCATTAATTATTGGGCGCATCAAGAATTAATTTAAAAATCAAAGTAAAATAACTTTTTTGGGCGATTGTGACACTTGTTCAGCTTCAGACTTATCTCACGCCTTTAAAAAAATCAGTAGTACTGAAGCAAATTCTTCTGTGCAGATACACTTTTACCTTTTTGTAAGCAAGCATATGTTAAGGTGGGGGCTTAACATGTTTTGTGGGAGTCTGTTGGAGCGAGCTTGACAAAAAGGGACTTTAAACCAAATTTTAAGTTTCACAAAGTGCAACTTTGTTGTGAGTTTTTTTTTAAGTGCTCTTGAGTAGTGGTGGGCAAATCGATCCAAATATCCATTGTATCAACATCAATACGGCATCAGTATCAGATCAATACTAGCCTGGTGAGATCCATTCTTTACTTTAAGTTCGCCTCCAGTGGCAGCGCCGGTGCTGGTCTGATCCTGCATGTCTTCCGGCCAGCATGCAGGACAACGCAGCATGCCGGCCTCTGTTGGAGGAGAGGCTGGACCAGACAGCACGCCGCCTTCGGGCGTGGCAGAAACCTTGCGCACCTCGACCTCTGTCTCCAGCTTGGCAGGTTCCACTGGCGCGCCAGCCTCTGGCTCAACACAAGCTTGTCCTTCCTGTGCACTGTCCAGCTGGGGTGGAGCTGGCCCCCTTGCTCTTTATTACAGTTGATAGTTGTTTTCCTTAAGCTGTTGTCAATTTGTTAACTTTTCAAGCTAACATGCATTTTGTTTTTTGTGCAAAAACGCTCTGGAGTCTCAATTGAAGTCATATTTCAGGTCTTGATTTATTACTTTTAAGCTTCTGTAAACTTGGCCATCAGAACGTCCTACCTATAGATATGTACAATGGAGGCATAAACCACGTAAGGTAGTATATTCTGATAAGGTAGCACAGATTGATAGACATGACTATGAATTTACGCTACGGTAGGATGTTTTGACAAAGTAGGACGTTTTGTCAGAACACCGGATCAAAGCCGCGAGATTCTTCATCCTCTGCAGGTCACGGTCAGTCTGGTCCTGCAGCTCATCCTGCGGCGGTGCGACACCGATGCCTGCTCCCGCTGTGTGGTCGCCCGCTCAGCCACCATTTGCGCCAGCTCCTCCTTCTGCTGGCCCAGTCCTGGGTATGCAGTGTCCTCCTTCCTGGGTTTCGGCACCACTGTAAACCACCACGGCAGACCCGATGGCATTTTCATGCTTCGCAGCATCATTTATTCTTACAATAATCACACAGTTGCTGTAACAGTACATTCAACGGCTGCAGCTATCCCGCTGCCAGCCGTACACATCACCACCAACAACAACACAAGCAGAGCACAGGTTTTAAGCCGACGAGGCGTGATTGTAGATGCCGTGCAGGTGAGTCCATCTCACTTGCAGACCACGCCCTGCCACAATAATAAAGCATTTTCTATTTAATTATAAACTTTGTCCTAATTGTGGCCATGGGTTTTAAATGTTTAATAATAAAAAAGGAAACATCACAAAAAAATGACGTATCAACCTTATTTATGGAAAAGTATCGCTATCGTGTCAGCGATACTGGCCCGTATTTACTTTGTATCGAATCGATACCAAAACCACCACCACTACCCTTGAGCCGCTGTTCCCCAGACTTTCTGAAGATCTTTCTTTTGTTTGCTCAGTCACTTAGCACTGACTTCACTCAGGGTATGGACCACTGACACATGACTTAACAAAGAACCAACTTTGAAATGTATTTTTAAACATTTTTAAGCATTTTGTTACAAACAGCCCGTCACAGTTTTACAGGAAACAAGGCGTTTCCCAAAAACTTTGTTGCATGGTGTATTGGAAATTCAAGGAAATTGGAGAAGCACAGGATAGTTTAAAAAGTGGTTGGCTTAGAAAACTACACGCCAAATATTTACTTTCAAAGTATAAGCTCAATATTTGTCTTATATACTGTATTTTCATCAATTTTTGCAGTCAGTCAGTGTGCTATTTCCCATCTCGGTACTAAAATATAAGAAAATGAGTAGTGGCACAACATTTTGCACAGTACAGTATTTTATTATTGTGTTATGCAGTGCTAAAGACTAGAAATATGTGATGTAGAGTGAAACATAATGTGAAGCTAGCTGAAATAGCCTGGTCACAATGGCATTTAAACACAATGATCAGAGGTGAAGAAGTAAATTAATTTTGGACACTGTATACAATTTCTTTGTTAACAGTTTATTTTGAGCTACTGCATAGTGTTTATATATATATATATATACATATATTTGTAATAGACAATAATTACTCCAATTTCTGACAACAGGAAATATTTCTAAAGTGGTAAAGTATGGTGAAAGTGTTGGCTGTTTAAAGCTACATTAAAGTCCCAGTAGTGGAACTGATCACAGCCACAGAACAAGCTTGGGGTCATTCTAGACCCAACATTATCCTTCAAGAGTCACATAAATAAAGTATCCCAGGTACTTAAATTTAATAATCGAAATTTTAATCACATACGTAATAATTTAAATATGAATGTTGCAAAAACTTATTTTTACTCAATGATCATCTCTCACATGGACTATTGTTTGACGCCCTGGTCACTTGCTTGTCCAACAACACTTAAAACTATTGAAAACATTTATAAAAGAAGTTTAAAACTACTTGACAAAAAACCGACTTCCCATCACCACTGTCATGTGTTAAAAAAAACATAAATCACTGAACTTCAATAACTTAGTGAAACTTAAAAGAGTGTGTTTAATATATAAAGTCTTACACTCCCTTGCTCCACCACCACTAAAGCAGTTCATTAGGCATAAAGAAAGCTCAGACAGGACCACTCGAGCTACAATCCGAGGAGACTTGTTTATACCCCACAGACGGACAGCATTTGGGCAGAACGTCCTCTCTGTCCAGGGTGGCCATCTGTGGAACAGTCTTCCTCTAGAGAATGCTCGACATTCAATTTGTTTAAGGCAAAGGTTAAAAACTGGTTATGGACAAATCAAGTGTGTGATCATGTATGAGTTGTATAGTTTTAATGTTTTATTTGGGAACAGAATGGTGTGTATGTGTAAGTTTGGTGATGGAGTTTTTATTATGAATGAATGATGAATTTTTATGAATTATTATGTCTATTTTTTATGCTCAAGGACAACAGATGGAAATTAGCCCTTGGCTATAATCTGGTATGTTTACATTCATGTAATTTTTTTTTACATTTATGTTCATTAACATGCACTGTCCTAAATAAATAAATAAATAATTAAATTAAGCAATTCAAAACAACAACATTGCAGACATATAAACAGAGCAACTGCGGACAAAAGTTGGCCTGTCTTAGCAATGCAAAGCTCCCAGATCCAACATCAGCATGGAGGAGAGGAAGGCACTCACATCACTTAGTAATGACAACAACATTATTATCCTTTTGGCAGACAAGGGTAGATGCACAGCTTTGCTAAACCAGAAAGACTGTCATGAGAAAATCTTGTTACTGCTCAGGTACAAAAGTACTTATGAGCCCCTGTCTGAAGCAGTTAGAGCAAGACAATGTTACTGAATGGACCTCATCCTATACCCAGGAGAAGCTACACCTAGTCCGTATGGTTTACTGAAGATATATAAACAGAGCGTACCTTCAAAGTAACTGTCTGTATGATCAGCTCATTTACCCACAGCAAGTTTCTGGCATCGATCCTCAACCCGTTTGTAGGCAGCTCTAAACACCACATCCAGAAGACCTTTAATTTTGTTGAGACGATGAGCGCTGACATTATGAAGGGAGATGAAACAATGGTCTTGTATGATGTCACATCTCTCTTCACTTGTCTTCCACTCATTGAAGCAAGAGATAACAAGAGATAAGAGATAACAAGATGACCCAAACCTCAACAACAGGACCACTCCCAGCACCAAGTGTGTTTGATCTGTGTCTTCATTCCATAAATTTCATATACAAGGATGAGTACTACAGGTGGAAACATGGGTGGGCTATGGGTTCCTCTTTTTCACCCAGTGTGAAAAACTTGTACATGGAAAAGGTGGAAAAGAGGGCTTTGTTATCCTACCATGGAACACCACCAAGTCCTTGGTTCAGGTATGTGGATAACACCTGGGTGAAGCTCCAATCTCAAGAACTACCACAGTTCAGGGATCACATTACCTCTGTGGACAAACACATCAAGTTCACCAGGGAGGTTATGAAAATGACAGGTTAGCCTTCTTAGACTGTGAGATTCCATCAGTAATGTGGGACATATAAAGGTGATGTACACCATAAACCAATGTAAGCTCCAGGCAATCCAGGACACAAGAAGGATAACTGCTGCCTAAGGGAAAACCCTTAGTGATCCCATATGTGTCAAGAGTATTGGAGCAGTCGAGAAGCATTTTCTCTAAACACCTCATCTCTGTGGCTTTTAAATCCCAAAACATGCTGCACGCAGCTCACTGGCCTACAAAACACGCTGATCAATTTTATTTGATCAGTGGTTGTTGATCAATGGTCATGACAGTTTGCAGTTTTCACCAGTGGTGCTAGTTTCAGTTATTTCAGAAACGCTGCATTGAGATGAACAGAATTAAATTTTTGGGATTATGATTTTTCCCTTGTTTGCAAATGCACAAAAGAAAACAAAAAAAATAATTTGTTGTCTGGGAAGGGGTGAGAATTTACATTCTCTTCTATCTGAAGTTGCTGGAAGCTCACTAAATAGCCTTGCAGCAAAAATGTTCCACACATCACAAATGACCCCATAGGTGCGCTTTGCAACCTTCACTTATGGTCATTTAAGTTTTAGACTTGAGCAAACTCTATATGGATCCATTGATCAATGTAAAATAATGCATGTTATATGCTTTTTCACACTTTATACTGGCTACTCAATACTGGTTATACTGGTTACATTTATACATTTGAAAGTCAAACATTTAATTTTAACCTAAAGAAAAGTAAAATTGTCAAGCAAAGAATTGTCAATGAACATGTAAGTGAGAAGACTAAATCATATTTGTTAATTCAGGGAAAAGATTTCCAGTAGCTTTACATAACAGTATGATTTTTACTATTTTGCATAGAGTGAAGGTGGAAGGTGGAAATTAGCTGAACTATGCTGCACTGCATTTGTCAGGAAGTAAAACTACAGGAGGAAGGAAGAAATTAGAACGCACTGGAAACTAAAAGTGTGTCTTTTAACACTTATTTCTTTCATTGAAAATGGAAAAATATAAAGAACGTATTCCCAATTTTACTGAAAACTGTCAACTTATCTCAAAAGTTCTTAAAAGACACAGAAGTAGCTTAACAAAATGTACATTTTTTCTGGCTCATGAAGGGGCTAATGCATCTCACTTTGTGAACGGCAGTCATTCAGACTGCTTTTTGACACCTTTGAAGGACAAAATATCACACACCCAGACAAATAACAGGTTCAACCTGTAAGTTTACTCTGTAATGTGAATGTTAATTATTTCTTCAGTACATACCACAACCAGTAGTTACTAGACTACTAGTAACTAGCCACCTTGACATAGGAAATAACTGTACTTTTGCACTAGTTGATGTTCCAATCATAAGTGTCTTTCACAGCTTTCAGATAATCACAGATTTCACAGATTTCAAATAACCACATCAATCAATAAGCAGCTGAGGATTACATTGCTTTTTCTTCTCCTAGGATATAAATGGTCTTTAGTGTAGTGTCTAAAAATGTTCTCGGCAGGAAATATATTTAGGATATAATTTCAAATAGATGTGAAATAATAGCTAATAATTTTGCAGGAAACTGTCTAAAACAGTTACAATTACAAATTACAATATAACACATGTCGATATTTGCATAAAAGACTTAACGTCATGGAGGGTAACCTGGACAGTTGTGTTGTGTTGAAGAGACAGCTGAGATTCACCTTTCTAAATTTGTTCCTTTATTTATGACCATGACATCCTAGTAGTGAATAAAAAAAAAAAAAAACATCTCAAGACTTTTAAACTTAGTTTTAGTGACTGTGTGAAGTGAATTATTCAATAGGGCAAAGGTGTCGAACTCCAGGCCTCAAGGGCCAGTGTCCTGCAGGTTTTAGATGTGTCCTTGATCCATCACAGCTGATTTAAATGACTAAATGACCTCCTCAACATGTCTTGAAGTTCTCCAGTTGCCTGGTAATGAACTAATCATGTGATTCAGGTGTGTTGACCCAGGGTGAGATCTAAAACCTGCAGGGACACCGGCCCTCGAGCCCTGGAGTTCGACACCCCTGCAATAGGGGATCAGAGTAGAGGTACAATTTCTGCTTTTGCGACATTAGACTGAGTCAACAAGGTTGTGTGCGGGTATCTGACGTGGACGCCTGTTTGACACCTTCTATTTGGGGTGTTTCATGCATGTTTTACCCTGGGGCGGACTCCAGTCCCAGAAAAAGGCTAGGAATATACATTATTTTATTTAAATATATATATGTGTGTGTGTGTGTGTGCAAAATCTTCATGAATGACACACTGTACAATTGTACAATTTCAACTTTTTTCTCATTTCTTACTGGAAATGGGGGCATGGATTGAGCATGTATTATGCAGAACAAAATTCATTTGATGCTCAAACACCCAGTTGAGAGTGTATACAGAGGGAAAAATTTTGTTGCCATACATGTATAGATGTGATATCATAACTATTGACATGATACCTGTTGTGAAACTGCAGAATTAAAGCTAAAATCATGATTATTGTAAGTTTTCAACCCTCTAACTTCACCATGGGGTTAATGTGTGTGTGTCTGTGTTTGTGTGTTTTAAGTATTTAAATAACTACTAAGCTCTTTACTCTGTAATTGGCTCCCAAAAATGCCCATAAGCTCTGGTTTTTGAAAAGGCTAAATCATTTGCTTCAGTAAAGCAACATGAGTTCAGGCCTTTTTATCGGCTCTTTGAAGGTACGAAATGCAAAGATAAACTTACCAACTTTCCTTTGAAATGCAAAATGTGATGTTTTTCTGAGGTATTTCTTGCAGTAAATACTACAAACAGCAGTTAGGACTGTGCTGATTACACTTTTAGGACTTAAGTTTTATCAAGAATAGTTTATAACAAGCATAACTATAACATGTAGGGAACAGTGTTCGAGTTAACAAAATAGGCAGTTACAATACAAGATGAAAGAAAATGAGAGCTTTTGCAAAGCCCAGGAGGAGGCAAATGTGACAGGAAGTCTACATTTGAATCTATTCTGTACTGACCAATCAGCAGCATTTCACTGTCTTACTGAATACAGTGATTTCACCGCCTTCATTCAGTGAAATACCAACAGTCCTCAACAAGGAGCAGTGTCACGATGGTCATGTTACGGATTATATTGCTTTTACTTCATCAAGGATGTAAGTGAGCATTTTACTTTACTAAAAATGTTCTAAATTGAGAATTTATTGTCAAATAGAAAACCTTGACTTTTCTATATTCTAATTCAGACGCTCTAGTTCCAGTGAAAACTGTTCAGCTTGGTGAACCAGCGAACATAACATGTGCTTTGCCCAGTGGGGTCAGCATTGGAGGAGTCCACTGGTACAAGCAGAGTGTCGGAGATACTCTCAAATTAATAGTGTCACTGTTGAAAACTGCAACACCTCAGTATGGTCAAGAAACATTTAAATCAAGATTTCAAGCAAATTATGATAAGAAATTTAGCAACCTGACCATTTTGAAAGCAGTCCAAGACGATGAGGGAATCTATCACTGTGGAATCATAGAGTGGATTAATCCTGAATGGACGGGAACATATTTGTTAGTAAAAGGTAAGTTAGTCATACACTGTCCTACTTTTATAAACTTTAAAAGTGTTTTAGGTCATGTTATAAAGAATGTATTTGTGTTTTGTATTCCACAGGAAATAATGAGACAGCATCAGATTATACTGTTGTTCAATGGCCAACAGTGTTGAATCCACTGCGCTCAGGAAATTCAATGACTCTCCAGTGTTCAGTCTATTCTGACTCTGACAAGATGTGTCCCAGAGATTATAATGTGTTCTGGTTCAGAGCTGGATCAGATCCATTACACCCAAGCATCATCTACACTGATGGAAACAGACACAGTGAAAGTGAGATAATGTCAGACTCAGAGGAGAGGTGTCTTTATCGCTTCTCTAAGAACGTCAGCTCCTCTGATGCTGGGACTTACTACTGTGCTGTGGCCACATGTGGGGAGATATTATTTGGAAATGGAACTAAACTGGATGTTGAAGGTATTTGGTCTTAAGTACTACTTTAACCTCGTAGGACCTGGCGTCCACATATGTGGACATCAATTTTTGGGTTATTTAGACCAAAATACTCAGTTTTGCTCTACAAGGGCCTGATATCCACTTACGAGGACATTATGAGGACTGCCACTGTTCTATCAAAATTTTAAAAGAATATCCTCATATGTGGCTATCATTTTTCTTAGAAACAAAAATCTGAAAAAAAAATTTGATAATTCTTTGTTTTTGCATTCATCGGATCCCAATCAGCCCAAATATCAAAGAGAAATTAAAAATGCATGCTGTGGAAGAGTTCGGGTCTTAGGAGGTTAATCTATACTATATATTCACAGCTGATAACAGTTTTTGATTTTTGGTTTGTTTTTTGTAGTGCAGCCAACACAATCAGGATTTATTTTAATGGCAATATTAATAGTTTGCTTGGCCATTTCTCTCTTTGGAAATGTTGTCCTGATCTGCAACCGAAGAGTATGTAAACCATTTCAAGGTAAGTGTTATAAAAAGCTGAAATTATTTAAAAGGCTAAAATTATTTTAGTCATATTTTTAAGACCTAAAATCTATGGATTATACAAACATGACAGACGTTATACTGTAAAACTATAAAGAGTCGATTACTGTACATGTTTTCAATGACGATTGAGGTGTAGCATTGCATGATTTGTGTTCCTGTGTGTACTTCATTTATACAAACAAATTTATGTAAATAAATAATTTTTGTCAGTGATCATTGACAATTTGTGAGTTAAATGCCACATTAGACTCTCTTCACTACTCCATTTTTTTGTTGTTTATGTAATGAATGTAATTTGTTTTGCTATATCAGATACTCCAAACAAGACCTCAAACCAATCAGTACATGATTGTGTAAGTAATTAAAATTATTGGTATTCAGTTAATATTTGTCAAGAATGCCTTGATATCACTTGGTATATGTTTTGATATATGTTTCACTTTTTAAAATAATACACAGAGTGAAGCTGATGAAGAACTAAACTATGCTGCGTTGCATTTCTCTGAAAGAAAAACAAGGGGAAAGAGGAAGACTGAGTTTGCTGAGGATAGTGTTTACTCTCAGGTTAAACACTGATGCCAATGACAATGTTTAAGATTTCATGAAATTTAAATTGAACCTGACATAAGACCCTGTATTTGTGATTCTTTTATGTTGTTATTTTTTCTTACGAAATATTCCTTGTGAATATTTCATCAATGACAGTATATGGCCTCTAAAGACCGGAAATTTAGATTTTTTTTTTTCATTTCTGCTTTGCATATGTGATTGTTGACTGTAATAGCTAGTCATGCTTTCTGTGATTAAAATAATACTATGTTGATTGATGCAGGTGTTTTTTGTCTGTGTATCTGTGTTTGTTTAAGTTGGGCCACTACAGGCAAGGAATTAATTTCTATGTGAGTTTTGAGACTTTAAGTTTTTTTGCTTACATTTTATTTCAGCCTAACAGAAAGTAAATGTCCAGCACATATTGTCATGCACTGTGATACATGCTCAATCATCCAGGTAAAAAAAATCCAGGAAGTTGATTCTGTAACATTTTCAGTGGGAGAAACATTTCGGGAAGACAGGGAGGAACACTGGGTTAAGCAGAAAGTCAGAGTCCATTAACATCACATAGCAATGAACAACTCTGAACTGAGGTGGAGGCCCCAGGGTGCAGCTTTCACTATCTTACAATGCTGTGATTGTAGCCATTCACCAGCACTCAGGGCAATTGATCAATGATAATGACAACTTGCATATTAACGGTCTTGAAACTGATCCCATACCTCATCGTTAATCATTGATGCTACTTTCTGTCACTATGCAAAAGTACTGTTCATAGGGTTGGGGAATCCTGCAGGCAAGTCAACAAAAGGAGAGAGCAGAAGAAGGATAGAAGAAACACTGAGAATCTGCTTCAACACATGCTGAAAATATAGCAGAGAAACCCAAACAACAACCTATCACAACTAACAGTAAATAATGATAAATGTTACTGAACACCACACAGTACTTATAATACCAGATATATTTAAAGGCTGCAGCAGACCAAGATAATGTGTGTCTGTGAGTATCTGTTTGTACACCTGTGTGGGTAAGCACAGTTGTGAGTCCTTGTCCCTTGTTCATAAGGTTTCTCCATGGAAATGTCCAATAGTGTGTGTGGGGATCCACAGCCCTGCCCCCAAAGGTATAAAACAGGCATGGAGGAGACCTGGGCCACAGGCATCCAGAGGCCCCTCAGAGCACAGGAGCCTCAGGAGGACCAGCACAGGGACAATCACGGCAGAGGGGAGCCCCAGAAGTCCTCTTATTGATTTGTGCACCTGCACAAGCAGTGATAGGAATTAGGACAGGAGCTTCAGGAGTTCAGTGCTGGTGGTGGAGATGAACCTAGGGGCTTGGGTTGAGCCTAAGCAATATGGGAGAGGCAGAGAAAGGAAGGAGATGGGTTGCATAAAGCCATCTGCAAGGGAGAACGACAGAGGAGCAGTGAGATTTAACTATGTGGAGTGGAGACTGACTGACCTGAAGAAGGCGGGCAGAAAGATGATTGGACTAGACCAGTGATGTCAGCAATGAGCTATAAAAGTGATGTCAATTCTAGATACATTTGTCTGCCCGAGACATATGTGTGACTATAGATTTCCCTTATTGAACTTATGCATAAGCTTCATTTAGAATATACAAAAAATGCAAATAGTGAAGCTGTGCACACATGTCAAGACCAGCTCTGAACTACAACATTCAAGAAAGAACGAAGGAGGAGAGAAATCCTCTAAAAATAAAAAAATAAATACAAAATCATAATAATCAGATTGGAAATGAACATTACCGAAATACCACCATTACAAAATAATGGCAAGGGCCTTCAGCAGGTCAGTCTTTCTTCTGCTTCTTCATATTTCCTGTTTCTTCAACATAATTCTTCATGAAATTAAAAGTCAATTAAACTGATTATTGTTGTCGTAAAGTGAATATTGAACTTATTCTTTCTCAAATGCATTTGTTTCACTTCTGAGTAAAAGACTGATTCATATGGTGATACTGACCAAAGGTCTGGGGAAAAACTACTGTATTCAAAATTAAATGGTAATGGTAAATGGACTGGTTCTTATATAGCACTTTTCTACTCATCTGAGCACTCAAAGCGCTTTACAAATAACAGGCTAATGCAAATGTTTTGATGTATTTAACGAAGGGAACCCCATATCAAAGAAGTTAACTTATTTAAAGATAAAAAACAATGATTTTGATCAGAAAAAATATAATTTCAGAATCATAGAAATCCAATGAACACTTTAATGTGGATTTGGAATGGAATTTATTTAGTTTGATATTTTTACACAATTATTTGGGTATACCAAATGTGAATTATACAACATGTTTTGTTGGGCCCAAAAATACTACCATAGCTTATGTTGCAGTCAATAAAAGTAACCAGAGGTTGTGTTTCCAAAGAATCAGCTGAACAACATGTTTGTTTGTTTTTTAGAAAAAAAACCCACTTTTATTGGAACTGTTTATTTTAACACATATTTGAAAGGCCACAGCGTCTATCAAAGGACTACAACTCCTGCCCTTCTTGGCTTATGCTGATGGTTGCCGCTGAGTGTGGGAATCTTGTCTAACAGCAGCATACACACAGTGTTGTGTTGACTCTCTCCTCTTCCTGTTCACTCTGTTTACTCTCACTGAGGAGTAATGGACTGTAGCATCAGTCATCATCTGAAATTACAGGTATTTTAGAATTTATGTCATCAACTTCAACTCAAGGAAGATTTTTGGAATAGTCAGAAATTACATATGTACAATATATCTACTATTATTATTTATTTTTTTAACTTGTAAGATTATTCTAATATTTTGCAATATATCTTAGAATTTTTAATCAACATTTCTATGTGGTTGGGTC